ATTTTGGTCATTCTGGTGTATCTTATTGAAAGTGAAATGTCTATTGTATCTGAGTTTAAGTTATGTGTCCCATTTTCTATGAGGGACAAAATTGTCTTTCTTGTAACTCAAGTTTTTCATGAATAAAAGTCAAGTGGGTCGGCTAGGAGAGTGACTTTTTTGAATATCCTCTCTTCTAGTCTGGCCGAACACTCGTCTCCTCTCCTTCTTCTTCTTCTTCTTCTTCTTTTTCTTTTCTTTCTTCTTTCTTCTTCTCTACTTTGACCTAGAAACAACTAGGGTTTATTCACATTTAGCACCACAAGAACAGTTATGCTAGTTGTGTTTGCTTGCAGATTCATGAAATAATTACTACTGGGAAGTTATCAAAATTGGAGCACTTTGAGACAGATGAGAAGGTATTGCAGACTTTGGATTTCTATGATTTTTTTATGCAGTATTCCTTATTAAATTTAACTTTTTAGTTTTTCATGCCTATTGGCTGCTATTGGATTACCATCTTTCTGCACATTTATTATTGATGTTTGTCTCCATATTGTGGAAATGGCTGAAGTACTTTCCGATTGCAATAGAGTTTAAGTTTTGTATATTTAGACCAAGAAATTTGAAACTATGTGAGCTCATGTGCATGGATGGGTGGAGATTGATTTGGTTGAACTAAGCCTGCTTGACATATGATTTGCTTGCAGTGAGAGTGATAAGAATCCCTCCTACTAAGACCCAGTCAATGCTGTTATAAACTTACGTTTCTGAATATATATATTTATATTCAGATTTTGAAGGGGCACCTTTCTTTGCAAGTTTCTACATTGCATAAAACCTCATTCCAGTTTGGTAAAGATTAGTCAGAGCTTTTAGTCCTGATTTGTGTCTGTTGATTGCTGAATTACTAGTGAGCTTAGTTCACACTAGAACTAAAGTCAACTCAGTTCCCTAATAACCATAAATGCCTCTAGTTACAATCTTGGATTATCTACTCTAAATCATATGGGCATGCTACTTTGCACATTCCATATCATTCAGGGATGTGATATTTACTTTTCTATTTTCATAGGACTGTATTTTTATTGTTTCAATTTATGGTTTCTGCAATAAGGGGTTCCTAAGGTGAACTTAATATAGTTTTCTTTCATGTAATTATTACCTCCGATGTAACACATGAAACTCAAATTAGGGTGTTTTGTCATGATTCATAGAGCTATTTGGAAAATCATTTGCATCTTGTCTATGTTTAGAACCATAAGAGAAAGAAAATTGTTAATGAAAACATGCATTCTTGGATAAACTTGATATGGTTCTTGTCAACTTTGTGAGCTCATGGGTATGCCAACAGATTCAGCATCGATGTGAATGAGTTAACCTCTTTAGATCAAGAAGCAGTCCTCTGATCCTTTCCCATCTATCATAACTGGCTAATTTAAAGTGAAATGAAATAATAGAAAATTTAAAAAGAATATTTAAAATATACACCAAATTCTAGCAAATCTGACCAAGATGCTGTTGAGATACTTGAAATTTTTCAAAACTGCTTTGTTTTAATCATGAAGAGTTAAAAATTTATATAGTTGCTTGAATTTAAAAAGAAGTCTGATGGGACTCCAACCTAGGCTACTATTGGATGGGTTTGGGTTTTATCAAAATGAAGTCCTTCATATGTCATAAAATAATTGACCTGAGACAGAACCACCCTCACCCTGTCCTTTGCACTCAATTTCATTCCTTTTTTTTCTCCTTTAGTTTTAGGGTGAATCTATTAATTCCAATTAATAAGCAGTGTCTACTTATTGACCCAACTGGACCCCCATTCACTAGATGCTTGAGAACCCAGTCCTACCTAGTAAAAGCTACCAGGCTTTATGCAAATCCAGAGATCTCTAAATGGATTGGTCGATTCAATAACTAGATCCATTTATTTAGGGCCTGAATTGGAGTAGTTTGTATCTGTATACTATGATGCCATTATTAGTGAGTTAGTTCTGGATCAACCTTGAGCTGGTTTATTTATTAGCAGTATTGAATCCTAATCTCTGTTACTTTTTGAATTAAAAATTGAATCTGTAAAAATTACTCTAAATTAACTTCAGATCCTGTTTAAATTCAAATTTTGCTTGTGCTTTTGACAGACCCGGATTTGTTTTGTTGACTTAGAATGTTGATCTGTTGCTATTTCTGCAGGCCCAGAGATTGACTATTACAGTGATAATTTCAGACATGGTCTGGGCCTACTCCTGATTTTAAGGCTTAATACATGGACCCAACTAATATATTCTACTAAAATAGAAATTCCTCAAGTGCCATATGACTGGAGTGTAGAAAGACGCTAATGTTTAGAAGATCAATAATGGTGGCTTTTCTCCGTTGTTTTTGTAATATTCACTTTTCTTTGGTCTAATGACCTCCAAAGCAAAGTGTAACAGCATACGTATTTGTATTGCTATAGACTTCAATAGATGTGTAAAATGTGGAGTTTGATGGATGTGAATGATCTTCTAATGGCTTTTCTGTTGTGGCTTCCTAGTTTCACTTTTAGCTTTCCAAACTTCGTACTTCTAACTTTCACACTTTCTGTTGTTTTTCAAATGATTTTGCTCCCGGATTTATTGGTCATATGCATTTCACCAATAGCCTGTCCCAAATAGTTGGGATCAAGGCTGTGTTCAGTCAGACTGAGATATTTGTTTCGCCAATGAGATTTTTTTCTTTTTAAATTTTGTCAAGGTATTCTTTACATGTATTCCAATTGTGTTTTTCAATGTCAACACACTATAATTTATTTTTTCTGGGTTCTTCAAAACTGTGAAGGTGCGGACAATTACTCTGTTTGGGGATGTTTGGGGTATTGGTCCAGCCACTGCTCTAAAATTATATGAAAAAGGATACCGTACACTAGATGATCTGAAGAATGAGGAATCGCTAACAAATGCACAGAAGTTGGGATTGAAATATTTTGATGATATCAAGAAGAGGATTCCACGCAATGAGGTTTACTTTTAGTGCTCTTCAATGGAATTTTATTGGATCTTAGTTCATATTCTCTATAATCATTTTCCATTGCTAGTATTTTATACTTTGTTTTCCTAGGTTCAAGATATGGAACTTATTTTACAGAAAGCTGGAGAAGATGTTTTACCTGGGGTGAGCACCATAAGCATTTGCCTTAACTGGTATTCTGCATTTTTTGGTTTGTTTGCTTCCATGAGTTAAGTTGTTTGGTGTAAATTTTTTTATGCCTTTACCTCTTTTGCTTTCAACAACATGGACATGGATATAGGAAGCAGAGGTACATGCTTCTTCTATATCAATTTTTAATATGTCATTTCACAGTACTCGTATCTTGCCAAATTAATTGAACTTTTAACATATTCAGATTTTATGATTTGTTATAAGGTAGCAATTTACATATTCTAAAAGTGTAAGTGCAAAGTATAGAAGTTAGGGATGTCAGCAGGGCGGGTTAAGTGGTAAACACCCTTGATATGACCCGTTCTAATTGGATTTGGGTTGAGGGTGGCCTGCACTAAACCTGACTCATTGACGCATTGACATTAAGAAAATGTAAATATAACATTCACTAACAACCATGGTACTTTTACTTATCCAAAAAAAAAAAAACAACCATGGTACTTTTCATGAAATGGTGTTGGGGTAAAATCAACATTCCTATTTCAAATTAATTGGTTGGGCTCTCGACTGGAGTTACTTCAGAGTTCGGGTCGGGTTCAGTTTGAGCCAAACTGTTAACATCCCTAACAGAAATTCCTATATGGTCTCCAATATGATATCAGATGTATATCGTGACTGACTTCAGTATACCAGTCATATACATGTATCCAGGGATCACTGAATATATGTTTTCCACTTTTCCCTGTTCAAAGGTATATAAAAAAGATAAACAATTTTGCAAGCTGGTTTGTCCTATTTAAATCTTCATAATGTGAATGGTAGGTCCCGATCCCCTGAACACCAGGCATGTGGTGTGTTTCAAGCCCCATTACCATTTTATGGGTTCTGTAACCCCAGTCCCAAGATATATCCCATTTAAAAAGATGAGACGAATATAACTAGATCCAAATGGAGGACAAAGGATTAGCCTCACCCAAGATTTTTCTTTTCTTATTTCTTCCTTTTTGTCCCTTTCTTTTCCTTCTTTTGGCAGCACGAAAAACATAACAAGGAGGGTTAAAAATTCATGTGTTTCCATAGTGAATATAATCTCTCTTTGTTTTGAAGGTAGTTATTATATGTGGAGGATCATTCAGGCGTGGGAAAGCTACTTGTGGGGACTTGGACATTATAATTACCCATCCTGATGGGAAAAGGTACAAATTCCATAAATACTGAGCCATGATCCATTCTTTGCAGTTTGCTACACTTAATTATTCTGGTGCTACTTACAGCAATCCAAAGGACAAAGTTTTTACATACATGTGTTTGGACTTCTTACTTTAGAAATATTTTCCTTTATTCATTTTATCTTATTTATGTTGCTGCAAAGTTTTTTAGTTCAACTTATTATGATTTTTTTCTATAAATACCTTCAATCCTGTTCTTCCCTGTTGATTTCAGTACAATTCCTAATACCTGTTTCAAACCATGTGGAGAGTCATGCCCTCTCTTCTATCTTGAAAGATGTATTCATCTATCATCATTTTCATCTGTTCTACAAGTTGTTCATTGACTTCGTTCTTTTCAAGCTTGAGATAATCTTTTGGACTGTTCTATATTAGTTATGTTTTTTCACATTAATCTTGGATGCCTGACACCTGCCTGCTCTATGCCTCTAGTCATAAAGGATTCCTCCCAAAGTATGTAAAGCATCTGAAAGACATGAGGTTTTTAAGAGAAGATCTGGTATTTAGTACTCACAGTGAGGAGGTAATGACATCTTTATCTTTTTGGAGGACTCTTACTCTGTACACTTATTCCTACTTCTGTAGTATCTTTATTTGAGAGCACCAAAAACATTGTTTTAGAAATAACTACCTGTATGAAAACTAATCCTCACTCATGCATAGACTTAAATAGAGAATAACCATTTTCGGTTTTTCTGCATTGGATTGGTGGGAAAACAGAAGATTAGCTTAAATGTTTTGACATTATTACAAATTTGTTGATCTGCCCAATTTTCTTGGTGTTTACTCTACCAGATGATCATTTGAAAACATTCTTTTCAGCCAGTTGGAAGTTTTAATTTTTCAGAACATGGGTTATGAACCTCGACTGTTATTGTGGTTGTGTGAAGTATGAAAGAGCTTTTAAAATTCAAGTCCTGAGGCCTGAGAAGCCTGGGTTTGTTTATGTGAAGTGTGTTACTCTGGTTATACACTACGCCCAGATAAGAATACCACAGACATGGACATGGGAATGGAAACACCACTCTTCATTTCCTAAGATCCTGAGCATGGATATGGGTATGATATCCCATTAGAAATGCGTATGTCACTTTTATATCTAGTTTTTGAAGCTCAGTGTTATTTCTCAATACTTGTATATTTCCAAAATTTACGCTTATAAAAAAATATATATTTTCAAATTTAGTTAAACCTGTAAGTTATAATATATACTTGTTACAGCATGCCATTTACATATTGTATCAGCATTATGATATAAAGTATACTCAAGTGTCGTGGGTGACGCCTCATCACCTTTTGGTGTAATCTTTATTTTTTAATAAATTTATTTATTTTTTATTTTTCTTCAAAAAAGAAGTATACTTTAGAAGTATCCATGCAGTATCTGGTGTTGTATTGGGTACATATCATGCCCAACAGCAGTAAGCTCGGGATTTACAGGTACCTAGGTATCATAAGCTATATGCCAATAATTCGCAACTTCCTTTTTTCTGGACTAGAGACATTTATTTTGAGATCAGATTTTCTGTGGATAATATGCAAACTATTGTTTTCTACCTTGTCTCCTTAGATGGTTTATTTACGTTTGCCTTTTTGTGAATATTATATTATGCTTTTTGTCTTATATGATGTTTTCCACTTTATGTTCAATTTTCTGTTATACATTTTTTTTTTTAATTTTTATGCATTATTACATACAGGGTACTAATTCAGGGGTTGATACATACTTTGGTCTTTGTACATATCCTGGTCGAGAACAGCGGCATCGCATAGATCTGAAGGTACCATGGTGATTTCCTATAGAGCTCCAAATCAAGTGATACAAAATTTCACCGTCTATTTCTAGAATTAAAAATGCATTTAGAATACGATGCCTTATACATAGTATAAAGGGAACTCTTGACAAACCCAATCGCTTGCAGTATTGCCATTACAATTAAAGCAAATGAAAGGTGCAGTAGTAAGATTTTCATTTTAGATTTATATAAATGTATCATTAAGTTACATTATTGTGCTGATGTTGGTACTCACTGCCTATTTAGATACTCTTGAATACTTGCACTATTTCTACAATCTCCAATGCATGAGGTTGTACTGCTATTACATCCTGATATGTCCTATGACATATTGGTCTGACGGTTTCTGTTGGTGTCCAACAATTTCCTTATTTGTTTCTTCGTTTTACTGTTGGATTTTGTTATATGGAAATCATCAATGCTAACTCTAAATTTTATACATCAGAAAATTTGTTTGCATAAGTTGTTCTAAAATTGGCAGAAGTGATTATTTAATTGTAAATGGACATTAGGGGTTGCCGCTTGGTGCAATAGTAAAATCCTGGAACTAACAAGTGAACTCTCTCTCTCTCTCTCTCTCTCTCTCTCGTGCAGTTGTGCCTCTTCCTTTTTCATTTTTTCCCTTCCTTTCACTTTTCTTTTTATTCTGAGCTTGTGCACAACCCATACAAATCTACTTTTTAAGCACCACTGGTCAATCTTGAGAACAGGGAACTATACATCCTAACCTAAGTCATAGTCTCATAGGTCAATGATTAGGACCTCAACCCAAGCAAAAGATAAGTCTGTCCCAAGTTTGAGCCTGAAGAACCATACATTCTAACCTACCTGATTTGAGAGACAGTTAATGCTCAAAGTCGTAGGTTAATGGCTTGCCAACTTAAAAAGTTGTTTATATTTATTTTATACTGTATTAACTTCTAAAGGACAGGAAGATTAATAGAACAGATATTCTTTCACTTGTTTATTGTTTCTTAACGTTTAAGGTTTCCTAAAAAAAAACAATTCTTTTTTTTTTTTTTTGTAGCCAACCTGTGGTGGAATACTTCAGTTCCACTACAATGTCACTAGATTTGGTTATTTATGTATTGAGGTTGTTTTATCATCATCATCACAGAAGCCCAAGAGATGCTATTGTAATATACCAAGGGAAAAAGTTTACATGAGAAGAGGCGTTCACTTGACCCTAGGAATTAACTCTATTTATTATTGGATAATGGAAATATTTTGAATAACAAAGCATATTACTAGAATCTTCTACTAAGCTGTGTATATTTTCACAGGTCTACCCAAGGGATATATCTGCATTTGGACTGATAGCATGGACAGGAAATGATGTATTAAATAGGAGGTCTGTTGATTTTCCATACTAATTGTTAATTTGACGATTCTGAGTATTGTTTTCCTTCATGCATCTTTTTTACCATGAAAGCTTCCTTCATGCGAATGATAAAGGTAAATTGGTTGCCATGTGTAATAGCGTGTATACTTACGGTTGCACTTTGTGGTAAACCTGCACACATCCAAGCAAAACTTGTATAGGGCTGAATTGGTAACAAGGCAACCTCATATTGTATGTTTGCATTTCAGACACGAGTAGGTGTAGTTTTCTTTTGGTTATGAAGAGGAACAGTTACATATTTGTTATATTTGGTTTATGCTTCACAGCCTTCACTAGAATTTTCATTGCTTAGTGCTGGGTAGTTGACTTATTGAAGTTTCTAATCAGTTATAGGAAATGCTTGAATGGATATAGTTGGGTTTTTGTTGCGATGCATTTGTCCCACATTGGTAGTATGGGATGCTTGGTTCCCTCCCTCTAACAGCTAGCTTTTAGGGGCTGAGTTCTCTAGGCATGTAAAAGTTTTATTTTATTTGGGGATACTTAATGTATTTGACTGGTCTCTGGGTACAGGTTGAGGTTACTTGCTGAATCGAAAGGGTACCGGCTTGATGATACAGGTCTTTTTTTACGGGTAATTGAAAATTGGAAATTTGGAATTGCAATCTGTCTTGTCTTCTCATGTTAAGTTATTCCCTTACATTACTCGTCTATTTTTGGAGTATCACATCTAAATTATATTATTGCAGAGTACAAAAGGTAGTCCGAGATTGACTTTGAAGACAGAGATGGAAGTATTTGATTTCCTGGGGTTTCCTTGGCTTGAACCTCATGAGAGGAATTTGTGACTCGGTAGAATTTTATATTTTGTATATATGTAATGTGACACTTGTAAAGTAGGCAGGCAACATATCCGATCTTTACTTGATTCAGTGGACTGTTGTTTTGTTGCTGAACCTTAGCTTGTTGACATTCTAGTCGCAACTAACCCTACTATTAGCTAGTGGAAATGGTTCAATACCCACGCACATGGTTTGTTCCTGGGTGTGGCTGCTGGCTTGATTACAAATTGAAGAACATAACTCCTCAGAACTCAGAAGCTCCGCGATCCCATGCAAGAAATTTAAGTGGAATTTGGTAACGTTCCACTGGAACGTTTCTGGTGCCCCCCGAGAAGAAAGGCGTCATTTTTTTGTTTCTACCAGGAACACCTGACACCACCAGAAACATTCCCGTGGAATGTTACAAGCGCAGGTGGCCCATCCCCGAAGAAGCATCACGGAGGATGAGAGAGGCCACAGCAGGAAGTTAAACACTCGGCAGTGAGGCTCCCAAGTCCAACATTGAGCTGTTTGTTTACAATTAAACGGTTGTTTGGGAACTTTAACTGATACTCATGCACTTAACAGCACATCTCTCAAAATATTCAAACCATGGTGGTAGAGATGTCCAAATGCAGCTGTAACAACTGGTCTGGTCTGGTGAGTGGTGACTAGTGGTCACTGGTCAGGTACTGGGTATTTGGGTAGTCAATCAATGATAAATTTCTTTGTTTTATTTTGCCAATGATCTGCCTGTATCCAGACTAGAGAAGACTCAAAACTTGGCTTGAATTTGGTGGGTGGTGAGGGGGGCAGGGAGCCGCTCGAGCCGGTAAGGGAACCGCCAATGTCATCATGACCCATATGGCCATGTCCGGTTCGTCAGGTTGCTTATCCTTAATTAATTGAATTAGCCGCCTCCCGGTTCACTTTGGTCGACCGTCCGGGTTTAAATACAGTAGCTGAGAGTCAGGCAGACAGAGATGGCTTGGAGTAAAGCGCTAGCTCTATCCATTATGCCTCCCAGCATCAATGAGTCTCCCCTCTCGTTTAGTTGTTTCCCTTCTTCCTCTTCGCTGCGCTTTCTTTCATTTCTTTGTGTTTCTGGTAATTGTTATAGCAGTCAGTCGACTCAGTCCTGCTCTTCCGGAATCAACCACTCCTCTTCTTTCCCTTCAGTGGTTAAGAGAGCAACACCACTATCACCTTCTCCTCTCTTCCCCTTCTCCTCCACCAGGCACATTTGCAGGGCAGCCGAGTACAAATTTCCCGACCCCATTCCAGAATTCGCGGAAGCCGTGAGTACCCATTCTCTCCCTCACAATTTTTCCTTTTCTATTTTTTTTTTCTTTATATTGTTTTTAGTCATTTCTGGTGCCTTAGAGTTTTCTCCTGTGACCTATTACTTGATGAAATTTGTTTGAATCTCTGTTACCCATTAGTACTGCTATTCTGGTGTTTATTGATTTGATGCGGGGAAAACTCTTTACTGTACTCTATCTTTTCCTTCTTTTGCTCAGCTGGGTTTATGTGTTTCTTTGTTTAGGAGACAGAGAAGTTCAAGACTCATCTTCTTAAAAAGCTCTCGAAGAAAGATATCTATGGAGATTCTCTCGAAGAAGTTGTAGGAATCTGTACAGAGGTACTTGCTTTTCTTGATTGACTTTTCTGTAGTGTCTGCACAATTTGTTGTTGTATCATTGATAGACGCTTTCTATTGATGAACTACTTGTTGAGAGACGTACAAAGCAAATACACCAAAGTATAGAAAAGATGTGTTTCGAAATCTAACTAATAATTGCAGGCTCATAATTTATACACGTATGGCTTTATGCATAATTTATTTGATAATTTATATACGTATGAACTTTATGGATGACTGTATTTCTGTTCTTTTAAAGGACTAGGAGACATGAATCCAGCCTTGTGTGCTTTTATTAACTTAGTTTGTTAAGGAGGAGGGGCCAAGTCTAGCTTCCCTAGTAGCCATTAGATATTGAGAATATTTTTGAGTTTCAAACTTTCAGTAGTCTGATGGGATATTGGGATGGCATCATTATAGCTGTATAGACGTAGTACAAGAGATGTATTGGTAGTAAAAAAAACTATGAAATCATTTGTTTTACTGAGTGTTTGATACAAATGCAAAGATAAGCCTAAGTTTATACTAGTTTAGAAACACCTAAATCTCTTGGGTTGGGGAAAACTGCAAGAGGTCCATCCATCTTCAAATTTCAAACTATCATCTCATCACTGTTAAACATCCATTTTGCAGCCTTTCATAATCTGTTGTGAACAGAATCATTGAGGGCTAAGAGGTAAAGCCCAAATCTCAAAATCATGAGATTAAATACATAGAAAAAACATCTTTTTGGTAGTTATCCATCAAAATAGTTCTTTGAGTTTCTTTCCGTGGTAGTGTTTGTAATGTCAGACAGATGAATAAAATTTTCTGAAATCAGATTAATGTCAACATATTAAACTAATAAATAGGCCAAGGTTCCAGAGTGATCCAACAAGAGCATCAGAAGAGGTGCCAATCGTGTAACACAAAACATGCATACAGAAATGGGACGTAAGTGGTGAAACCGAAACACTTATTTTTCTCATCCCATACCCCTCTTTCCCTCAAAAACAAATATGAGAAAAGGGAATATTTCCTCATCCCCATCCTACAAACCAAACGGAGCTTAACAGAATGAAACACTTATTTTTTGACAAAAGATTACATGAACTAAATTAAAAAGAAAACTAAGCTCAGTGTGGAAGAGCGGAGATACAAATGTGCACAGTGCAAATAAAAGGTCTAGAAATACCGTATACAAGGTTTTGCACAGTACATATTTGTATTTACACTTCCTAAAAAGTCTAAAAAGAAAAGCTTTTTGGATGTGGAGGCAATAATGTTACATCTGATGCTGGAATACATTTTCGTGACATGGGTTCTTCATGCAATCACCCTTTTAGGCTTTTACAGACGGGAATCAAATCTAAGAAACCGGTGCGCTTGGAGGCTAACTTTGTGCCTCTTGTGGTGTTCAATTAATGTTCTAGGTTTTCTATTCCCAATTGATGATACAGTTTTTGCATAGATGATTAAGTCTAGTCTTCTAGACGCTGATGTTTTATGTCTGGTAACATTTTCAACAGATCTTCAGTACCTTCTTGTACACTGAATATGGAGGACCAGGTACTCTCTTGGTTATCCCATTCATTGACATGGCTGATACGCTGAATGAAAGGGGGCTTCCTGGAGGTCCACAGGCTGCGCGTGCTGCAGTAGTATGGGCTCAAAATCATGTTGATAAGGACTGGAAAGAGTGGACAGGCAATGATGATTGATGTCAACTAATTATAAAAACAAAAATGCTTCCTTTGACAGACAAATTGACTCGGGACTATTTTATACTGGAGGGTGGCTAGAAGCATTCGTGTATGGACTTTGGAGAAAGAGTTCATTGAGCAAAAATTTTGAAATGGGCATTGCATTTTGAGAAGGTTCTGAATTAACAGGATATTCAGAAGTTTATGGAAATTATTATCAAGGTCATTCATGTTACTTGTGCTTTGTTTGAGTTTTGAGGAAAGCCCGTCATCATCATCAATTCATCAACCAAACCTTGGATTTCTGGTAACATAATGACAACCTCCAGACTGCGACCTTAAATGGGTTTCTGTTTTCCACTTTATATCTTGCATCGGTGTTTCTTGAACCAAGGCTTGAACTGGAGTCTTTCAATATTATCAACTCCCAATCATATTCCTTCCAAGCCAAAATCCTGTTATAGTTCATTTGATTGCTAGTTTCATGGTAAATAACCAGTATTTTTGGCAGTAAATTAAGATCTACAGGGGACAAACATGCTGAGAGAGAGAGGATTGGGAGACAAACATGCTAAGAGTCCCATCTAAGAGTTCCATTTCCATATGCGAAAATTCAAGAAATCTGTTTGGAAGCCTCCATGACTTCACAAGTTTATTCTTAACGGGTCTCTTCAGTCTTCACTTGTTTATTTACAAGTGCAGCACTGTGATGCCAATTCAGCGTAAACATTTAGGAGGCGTTCGTCAATATCAATGATTTTGGCCAACACTTCCTTAATCTCCTCTATGAATTTAGAACAGGCCTGCATTTGAATTTACCATTTAGGAAGTAAAAGGGGTAAAAAAACAAGGTTTGGACCATGAAAATGTAAAGTATAACCGAAATGCTGGAGAGAAAAATTTGCCAACGGGAAATACTTTTATGTATGAGATTTCAAGTTTCTAACCTGAAATTATGACCTTAGATAATGGGCCACTATTTTAATAGTTCTTTTCCGTCTGAAGAGGTGAACTTAGATAAAGAAAATCCTCACATAAATTCCCATTCCAAAAGGAAAGAGGCAACGCAAAACAATGAAATTTCATAGGGAGATGTGAAAACAAAGGCGGATTAATCTGCAGTCAGTTGCGGATCAAATATCAATTCAAGTAGTTCAATGGCTCACATATCAAATTATTCAAATCCAATCAACGATGGACATGGCCCACTTTACGCTTGTTAAGATTAAAGAAAGACCAAAGTAGGGCTGCATCAGTGACGGGGTCCACAAATAATACACAAGTTGTGAACTGTGAATCTGTGATAGGCGCCCATACAGTATAGATGAAAGACTTATTCAGCCTCGTATCCAAACACAGCACGGAAGATTTAGCTCTTGCATGCCAAAAATTGTAGCTAGACTGACAGAATGGTAGATTGCTTTTAGGTGCCAAAAATCAAAACTTGCAGTTGAGGTTCAACACTCAACACTACCTGTTTCTTCATAGCCCATAGTATGAATGTGAAATATGTATACACGGGACTATTTCTCTACCTCAAATGAAGTACATTTTTTAGTAAACTCCAGAAAGTGCACGTTCTCTTATATTTAGTAGCAAAGAACAGCAAAATCATGTCTCGAAAACTTAGAGAACACTAAAATGTTACTGTAACAACTATATGATTTCTATACATCATTTCCTCCTTGCGGATGAAACACCACCTGATTCTCTTTGCAAATGTGGTTAATTCCTATCCATCAGTTCTTCCCTGTCAATGAAACGCTCCAGCATCTCCTTCTCTTGCAAAACTATGCATTCTTCTTCCTTCCCAAACCAGTCATAACGCTGCTTGGCAACATAGTCATAGACAATGTCCCTCAGTGGGGTCGGAATTATCAACAATGCACTTAAAGCGGAGTAGGGCAATGGCAGGTAAGATGCAACTTTTAGTGCAGCTGCATAATTGTATCAAACACAAAAGTGTGAGGTTTAGTGCAGCTGCATAATTCTCTCTCTCTCTCTCTCTCTCTCTAAAACTGTAACCATTTGACTCACATTTTTTATAGTCATTTACACACTAATTATGCCTAAGAATCTAAATGACTACAAAGAAATATTAATCCCAATTCAGATGAACACCATCAACACTTTCTCCATTGTTGATCTTGTTAATGGGTGGAAAAAAATAATTAAAAATAAGTTAGAAGACAAACAAGAAAGACAGAGAAACAGGAAAAGAGTGCAAAGATGAATTTACAGTGCTCTGGTAATCTATTGTTCTATCAAAACTCAAGAAAATCGAAAGAGGGTAGGTTCTTAGACATCAAGATAATAACAAAACTGGATCCATGTGAGACTTCTTTTCCATCAATTATGGATAGAGGCATTAGAAAGGTCTTATATTTTACGTAGGGAGGAATGCTAAGGTATGAGAAAGTTTTTTCCTACAGCTACTACAAATGCCCCATCTACCACATATCGATAACATATGTGGGGCCTGATATTGATTTTATAATACACTGGAACCCACACAAATATTCTGGATGCATGGTCGATGGTGCATTTTTTAGCAGTTAAAAGAAAGAAAGATTTAACTAGAACAAACATTTCAATAATCAATTCTAGTTCCTGCAGTTCATTATACCCTTCACTGCTCGTTTGCCAGATCTAACATTTCATATGCCCACTGGCAGCCAGTTACCTTCTGCCCTTAAGAAGATCAAATAATCCCAACTACTATATTCTTTAAAAGCTGTCTATACTTGATATCATTCCAACAAGTCATGAAATTGCATGACCATGAGCTTAGGGATCATGAACAAAGGAATGAAGACAGAGCAAAATGGATTGCAAACAGTAGCACAACAAGCAGATACAGGAAAGGATTTTTAGTGCTCAAATAATAGAGTTTCATCAGATATAAGTTCAGGTTTATATTGATTTTAGAGATAACAAATTTTGTGTTCTTTTCTCTCTCAGGTGACCACTTACCACCTTTTTGGTACTCTTTTATTTTAATGAAGTGCTGCTTGGAAAATTTCACCATTACATTTTCCTCAATGGTTTCAAAGGAACCACTATCACAACTTAATGTCAGGAAATTTCCAACAGGTTATGTAAGGTCCCAAGAGAGGACAGCATATACTCATCAAAGAAGGTGGTCTGTACAAGAATGGACTGCCCAGGGCAGTGAGGTACTTGAATTTAATTTTGATGGATGTGCTTTGGGCAACCCTGGGCCCTCAGGTATTGATGGAGTTTTTAGAGAGCATGAGGGCACTTTACTTTTGAGCTTCTCACTGTCAAATCATGATTCAGCGGATGTCTTTGGCAGTTAAGGGCCCATGCTCTGTTAGATTCCTGATTAGAGAGGCAAAGGTATTAGCTTCTATCTTGAATCTTGAAGAGCTTCTTCAATTGGATACCTAGATAGGCTAATGATTAGCAGACTTGCTTGCTAGAGGAGAGGTTGGAGGATCCAATCAGGTATGGGGGACACCAGGCCCAAGGATACAACAACAAGGACAGTTATCTGGGGTCTAGGGAGAGTGGACTGCATACAGACCTAACCTTTACCATTTTACCAAGCAATGGCCTCATTGCACCAACAGCAGGATGCAACATTAAGTCACTCACGGAATCTTTACAGCTTGAGCCATCTAGTATTTCATGATGCCAATAAAGAAAAATGTGCTTCTGTACCACAAAATTGCTCTTTATTAAATGTTTGCAATAAAAAGATAGTTTGACTAACAATCATAGAAAACTTTTAGCCTGTGTGGTTCAAATCCAACTTAACTGTGAGTGGGCCTTTGGATTTCAAGGAGAAAAGAAGAAGTATCGAATCAATTAACTTAAATTGAGAGGAAAAAATCTAGTTGGCAAAAATAGCTTAAAAATACAGTAGTAATGTATTTTTAATGTCACCTTTGCATGTTATAGTTGTTGATCTAAATACCAAGTCTTTTATATAAAACCTGAGCTTTCTCCTCCGTGAACTAGTTTCTGTCAGACTGAGCAAGTCCTGTGGACCCCTCTCTCAAGATGCTTTCTTTCTTTCCTTTCCTTTTTTTTGTCCCCTCTTCTTCTTGCCTAAGACATGATCTGTATGGTCTGATTAGGGTGATATATCACTTGGTATTAGCTACTAATCACTGTCTAATAAAAAATGAAACAAGGGAAAAATAAGACTGAAACAGAAAAAAGGAAAACAGAATTATATGTTTGTGGCTCCGTCTAATCCCTTAAGAGCAAAATAAATAGGTAAATAACAAGCAACACTCTAAAAACAGAAAATGAAAAGGATTTTAGTTTTTGGTTTCAAAGAAATACTTTTTTCAATAAAAGTAAAAGCGTTTCAATGGCTGTACATCAATTCTGGGCAACAAAATGAACAGAAACATTGTTTAACCATGTTGAGACTTGAGAATATACATCCTTGGCAAACCTATTATTAGGAGTAAAAGATGAATGAAATAGAGAACTCCAAAACTAATGTCATCACAATAAGATGACGTTACAATAGATATAAGATTAAAATCCTGAATGCTTGTTTGAAAGCTTGTTTATCAAGTTCCAGGGTAACAGCTTCACATAAACTACACCAGGAAAACCATCCTCTTTTGAGATGAGTAGAAACTTCAATGAGATGTGAGTTCTTCCAACTCAAAGATAATAATCATTTAACAGTGTATGCATCATTTCCAGTTCTATAGATTAGACAGAACTATGCCATTGGGATCTTGGTTTTTCCAATAGTTGAATTTTACTGTCGGTCTTGAAAAATGCTGCCTGATGTACGAGGCATTATACTCCAGTTGTTCTTTTCCAGAGAGAAAACTTCATGCTAAGTAGACAGCATGTTTTTCGTGCATAGGGGGTGCAGGGAGCAGGAAAAGGCATCCTGCCTTACTCGGCTCAACTTGACTTGATTACACCACTAATCATGATTCATGCACATGCACAGTGCGAGATAGTTAAATAATGAAATTTTTGCCAAGGGAGTGAAGAGCAGAAAAAGGGATCCTGCCTTCATCATTACTAACTATTACCAGGTGATCAGTGATTAATTTCTCAAGACCACCCATGAAAGGAGGGGAATTTGAGTCTGGCATATTAGCAAGCGAATTTTCTCTATAATAGTTGCTACAGATGAAGCTAACTTCAAAAGAAACTTCATGCATATAACTAACAAAATGTCAAAATGATTCTATTATTAACATTTCAAATGAAGAAAACTAATGTAAACTTGTAAAGGAGAGAAAACCGATGTTCATACCAATGTTCATTCAAAAGAAAATGCAAACTGTAAATTTGGACATGTAATAGAAATAAAACGTAGATGTGCTAACCAGTTGAGGCATGATGGTATAAACCCGGGCCTTCAATGAACAAAAATCGACGGAGAACATCTTCTCGATCAACACCACAAAGCCTCAAATAAGGTTCAGCAGCCTTGGACTGAAGGCAACAAAACTTGATCTTCCTATACTTATCTGCTCTGATCACCCACTTCACCCCTACAAAAGAACAAGATTTGAATGAGGGAAATTTAAGCTTTCAAGGCCACTAGGTTATGATCAAGAGCAGAACTCTTGGAGGAGGAACATTACATGTTATACAACAGAATATAAATATAAGTTTCTAACCACTAGAACATGACAAACCAAACACGGGATTCTAAATTTATGGTTCCAAATACAACCTGAGAAAGGAAAAAAGCAAATCAAATAACATCGGGTAAAGAAGATGTGGTAATCCAAACTTCCAAAGTAAACATGTTGGAACACACAAAGAAACACAAATTGGGGTTCTGGATAAAGACCTTAAAATGAGCATTGGGAAAATAACATGAAAGATAAAGGTGAAGTTGCTCATGGAGCTGCATTTGATTACACAAGGGCATTTCCATGAAACAACGTGAAAAAAATAAATTTGAAGGGTAAAAATAAGGAAGGAAAGAAAGAGAAGGGAATTGAATTTTACCAGGAAGGAAAGTAAGAGAAGAGAATTAAATTTCTCCAGTTCAAAAGTTCGTTTCTAAATTATATACGAATTAATGCTCAATGATATTCTCATCTCCACCTTAGAAAAAAGGAAAAAAAAAAAAAAGAGGAAAAAAAACGAGAAAGCCGATGGCGTCTCGCCACTCCCTCTGTTTGTTTCTTAGTGAATGATGTTGCCGTTTCTACCCTAAAAAATGAAATGATATTTCGTCATGTACTAAAATCTGTGAGAAATGATGTTTTCCCATTCCTTTTTACTTGGTTTCTAATTCCATGATACTCTTGTTTCTTCCAAGAAAAAATGACACGAGTTAAACATGAAAGAACTTTGAAGATGGAAAATCGAATACCAGCATAAGACAGAATAAAACAAAAAATGAAATGCAAAACAAAAAAGTCTTTCAATGTCAGAGAGTATAAACGGAATCGAGAGCATTTCACTTTAATACTAAAGAGTAGCTTATTAGAACAGAACAGGGAAACAAAGAGGAAGAAAACGGTGGAATACAAAGCAATAATATACCCCTGTGACAGAGATGACAGACCCCATCATAAACCACGACTCGTGGCTGAAGTAGAGATGGAACCAGAGTCTTAGGCGGTGGAGGTGAGTCTGCAAATAGAAGTCCTTCGCTTGCAACACTACGAGCAGTAGCAGCAGCTGCAGAAGCACTGCCAGCTATGGCAGAATAGGAAGAAGACGAGAGGCAATACAGCAAAGAAGAAGCTCTTCTAATTGTGATTGAGGTTGTAGAGGCCGTACTCCAAACGCCTCTCCCGAACATCATAATCATCACTGCATCTCTCCTCTCCTCTGTATTCTTTAAATCCTGTTTCAGATCACCCAGATGCCGGATGCTAGAACAAGAGCATTTCGCGTATTTTCTTTCCTCTTCTTTGAATTTGATGTCGCTGTTGCTCCTCAAAAAGGGTCGCCATGCAAGAGAGATGGGACCCGATACGACCGGGTCCTACTTCGATGATCAATCACACCGACAGACTTGTTTTAAGATAGGATCTTGGTCTTAGGTGGGCTCCATCGACAATGCACAGGATGAATGATTAATCTGCGTGTTACTAAAAATATTATTAAAGGTTTAATCAGAGATCTTCATTAGATTCAATGCTCCTTGCAGACAGTTGCACAATATCATTATTGTCCTCTTTGACAGAGAGACTCTGAGGTGTGACCTGAGGGAGAGATCCTTTCCTTCCCTGTACTGTACAAACCTTTGATCCATATCTTTTCCTCATCAAAGATTTTTCCTTTTTTTTCTAGGATAAAAACAAAAACCTCTCCTATAATTTTATTTTAACAAATACCTCTCTTAAACCTTTTAGGAATTCAACAAAAAATCTCCCTTCCCTTACTGTCACATCGTTAGATTGATACATCAGTTTTTTTCTAAATACCTATTCTACTCTTTTATAAATTATTTTATATACAAAATTATTGAAATAACCATTTAACTCAACCAATAATTTTACATATAAATTACTAAAATATGTTTTTTTTATTAAGTTAAAATAAAATTATTTCAGTAATTTTGTATATAAAAAAAATTATAAAAGGGTAGAATGGATATTTTAAAAAAATGAGTGTATTAATCTAACAATGACGAAAGGACGGTTTTTGTTGAATACTTCAAAATTTCAGAAGAAGTATTTGTTAAAATAAAACTATAGGATAAGTTTTTATGATTGTCAGAAATTTTAAGAAATTTTTTTGTATTTTACTTTTTTTATAGATTGATTTGATCCATTAAACTATTTGATCTAATATAATAGAGGGCTTTCTAGGCGGATGGCCCGGATATGGTGGGCCCAATCCGTGGAAGTCAACGGACATGTTAGAGTTGGAGTCGGGCCATGTGTATTTCTAGACACGGATCTTATTAAATACATTGCTTTTGGGTCTTTTGGATCTGGACCCGATCTGATATTTCAGACCTGAACCATTCCATATACATTTGATCAGATATGTATAAATTGGCAAAGTATTGTTGAAAATAGTAAAATACACTTTTTTATTGCATGGTCGTGGATACTTTTACTTTATTCTTATAAATTGTTATGCTCGTGGTCATGGATACTTTTAGGTTTAGAACCCAAATTGAATCCAATTATGATCAGGTCCGAAGTTTTAGGCCCAGTCCCAGACCCTGTTGATGAAGGCTAGATGTCAAATACTCGTATTTCCTTATTTGATTTGCTCATAGATGGAACCCATGATGTAACCAATCAGACGGTGGGCCTTCATGCTACATATGCAATATGTATGTATATCAGTGTATCTCTGCATGTTTTACTTCTGTTCACCCAAAATTTTAGACTTTTTATTAGGCTTCCTTTTGAAGATTTCCAAGTTCCAACATCATAAATCAACCAAACCGGATATTTTCAAACCAACAATAAGGCAATAAGATTCTTTCTTGGATAACCAAAAATTTTTGTTTCAATTCATTATTTCAGTCCATTTACATGAAAATATGAAATTTATTGTTTTCAAAATAGGAAAATGTGACCTTTATTAATTTTACATACCATTTTGAAGGTATATAATGATGAAAAAAAAAGAAAATATACCATTTTGTAGGTATGTAGACAAACCATTAGTTGACAAGAATAAAGATGAAAATAGAAGAAAAAAGGGAAATATATTTCATCTTCATTAAAAAGTACAATAACAAAAAAATACTTCATATTTGGTAAAGTTCTCCTAAAAATAATAACAATCAATTAAAGCCAAGGACTGTAAAACGTGTAAGAAGCCATTTTACAATAATTACGCAGAAATTGAATATAAAAGAGGAGTTAGTGGGCATAAGTGCCACTGGAGGAAAACTTTTTCAGAGATTTTTTTTCCCACTTTCCCCAATTGTAAAGTGAAAATTCAGAAGTGCCATCATCTACAAGTGTAGCTGTCCATTTTATGGGTGAACCAAAGTAAAGTAGCTTACTATGGTCAATGGTCTAGAGGATCCAAATTCTACAAAAATTACTATATGACTATTAATTACGGCTCTACCTCATTTATATGAAATCAGATGTTCCTAAATCACCACCCACCTTTTACTCATGAAAGAAATGTTCAAGCCAATGAAAGGTAACACAAATGAGCTTATGAGCGTTTACATCCTTACCCAATCACCTCGCTTGAAAATGCATTTTCTTTTATAAATAAAAAAATAAAAAAATCAGCCCAACCTCTATCAGCACTAAACAGTTGGGGTAGTTAAAACTTAAAACAAATTAAATTTGCTCACAACCGAGCACAACTTAGATTTAACCTGTCAGATCCAAAAATTGTAATCTTACAGATTGATGGGCTAACAACCATCCTTTGCGTTTCTGTAGACAGCTTGGGCCTAGGAGATGACAATGAGTTTATTTTCATGCTGAAAAATAATTTAAGAAGCATTTAACTATTGTCCTAATGCATGTGTTTTCAATTCAACCTTGATTGATTTCAGAATGGAGTATCAGATTTTGTGAAGTTACAGCAATCCAACTAGATAAGTTTTTGTGGCATGAATGCATGATCATGGGAAAAGATGAACCCGCTTGTTCAGTGTTTCCTAATTGTGTGCACCCCATTGAACCAGAATGTGGGCAAGTATGAGAATATCATATTGCAGTACAGACTGAGCCACTTCTCCAACCTCTTCAGATTCACATGCTTGTCAAGAAGGCCTATCTGAAGCACCAAAGTAACAAACAAAATCAGACGGAGCTCTTACATGTAATATCCTAACTGTAGGATGATAGCCAAATAAAGACTTATCTCCTAATATTATTATAAAAAATAAACAAAAATATCAGATGCTGACAGAAAATGAAAGAAATACACAAACTCATGAAAAATTAAAGAACCTAAACAAATAGAAACCAGATGCTGACACTAAACTTCCCTTGACCAGTTCATGCAAAATTTTATCCAGCTTCAGCCACCATCAGAAAATGGGAGTCATGGAGAAAAAGACAAAAGCTCAGAGGTACTTACACAGTTTATTGCACAAACTCTAGTTAGCACTGTCCTCTTCATCCTCAAAACTCAAATTTAATGTCTGTAACTTGAACCCAGATCCTTGTATGATCTCAACCAAATTGGAAGCCACACCTGTAGCCTGTACCGTTGTCTGCTTTGTTAACTGCACATGGAAAGATAAGTTGCAATTAGCTGTTACTGATTAAAAAGAAGAAAAATAATTGATGTATCTAATTATTCCACTATCATTCTACAAATAGAACGTTGTATCATTTTTGGGTTTCCCAAGTCCTACTCTTTTGTGGCTACACTTCCAAGGAAAATATTAACTGGTTTTTGTTTCTTTGAATTGAACGAAGTTATGGATTCAGGACTGCCATAGTCTAGTGAGGATAGAGGTTGAATGCAACTTCTGAGGTGGTGCCATCCTTGGGGTTATTCAAGTTCCAAAGGTAACTGTTGAAATCAAAAGGATGACCTTCAGTTGCTAATAACCTTAGGTAAATTATGAGTGCTTCTGTACATGGAAATTCCTTAGTACGTGTTTGGTATAGCTTCCGTTTATTAAATAAACATTTGTACTTTATTTGTCTTCAAAACCGAGAAAAGTACTTGATAAACCTAGGTGCCACATCAGCGGTTGAGTGAATAAATGCTCAACCATTGGGGGAAGTGTTAAAATGAAGCTTCCCCCAATGGTTGGTGAGCACATAAATCAAAACCCACTTTTGTGAATACCAATGCATACGGATGAACATGATGAGAAAAATGTTGATTTGGCAATGACATGGCGGCGTTATGATAAACACCAATCACAAAACGTCCACGGAACAAAACACACGCTTAATTGCCTTCCTATTTTTTCATATGCAACATTAGAAATTGTGGTTCTCTTCAACTGCATTCTGTTTTCAATTGTAAAAGAATTTAGAGATGGTGAATGCTGCAATTGTAGTGCATATCCACCACTAACTTGGCAAATGTCATTTCTGATGTTTGAGACCATGTATAATATGATTAAGTCCCGTACTTTGAATTTTGTTTTTGAATGACAATAATTGGCTGAACGCTTCTATTGTGAAAATTTCAGTCTGATCATAATTTTTTTTTTTTATCTTTTTTGTGAAGTTAAGGATGCCAAAGAGAGAAAACAAAAGAAAATATCTTGTCTCTGATAAAGTAGATGCTACAGACAGTTGATATTTATATCAGAATACAAAAAATCATGCCATCTAAAGGCCAGTAACTTCTGCAGGTATTGGTAATATCAGACAAATCTCTACAGAGCTAACCATTTTTCTACTTTGTATTTATGAATGCAAGTGCCCAACAAAATCCATCAAAAAAATGTAAGCGTTCAACAAAAGAGTTAGTAAACATACCTCAACACTTGCAATACCTTCAAGGATTTTAACTTTTAAATCACTGACACCCTCTATTTCCTACATAATCAAAGGAAATTAGTTAGTTGTGTGGGACCTGTGGGTGTGTGTGTTAAAGTAGAGGAGCATTCCAACTCTCCAATAAAAAACCAAGTTTTTGATGTTTTTTTTTTTGATAGATACCAAGTTCTTGAAATATTATGCACAAATGTATGTTCTTTTTATTTTTATTTTTTGAAAGGTAAAGCATAATTGTATTGATCAAAAAGGGGGAACACCCCAGAGATTACAATATCCGCCCCTTTGAGGGAAAAGGGCCACTGTGAACTATGCACATCATTTACAATCAAGAAGAGACTGAAATGAAAACCCATTAACTCCTTTCAATCGCATAAACCAATGATTTGCTGCCAATCATGTAGATATATGTACAGAAATTCACAGACACACATACTTAAAGGAGCATGAATAACTGCTATTAATTTATGCACTTCCAACCCTTTGCCCACCGCCACCAGAACCATAAGATTCCATTCCCTGCCTATAAATTCTTAAAATTTCATCAGTCCGATTATCATTTTGAAACCCCCTCCCTACCTCCCTGGGGAGAAAGAATTGGAAGAAGACGTAATATTGTTACAGAAGCACACACACACACATACAGACACTGTAGAGAGAAGATAGAGATGACAGGGTTAAACGATTAAACCTCCAAGGCTTTGGCCACAGTAGGGATGGCCGATTCATCCATTATTCCTTCTGCCTGCACATTTCAACAAAGAGCAGTATAAGTGATTCCATATCTAGTTTATTGCATGATGGAAGTTATTATCTCTTCTTAATGATGTGTTTTTCTATTACCATAATGGCCATGTCATTGAGGCAGAAATATAGATAATTCTCATTTGTCTGTTTTTGTTTTTTTGGGTAAGTCAGGCATGTAGATAAACGAAGCATGCTAAGGCCAAAAAAAGGAAAAATCWTAACTACTCATTAGGCATAGGCACATAAGTCCCCCAGCTGCCCCCTATTTTCATTCGCACCGATGCAACTCCATACCTTGGCAACCCAGGGCTATGGGAATATAACTTGATAAATTGAAGATTTGTAATCACTT